TGTTTCTATTATAACGTATTCGTTTCTGTGTCTGTATGTGTCTGTGAATGTCTGTGAGTGTCTGTGAGTGTATGATGCGTGTGTTAAGACAGTAATTTTAAGTCTTATGGTTTTTTGATTAGTGTTATATTGATGTTATTGTTGGTGGTATTACTGTTATTGCTATTGCTGTTGTAGTTGATATTATTAGTGCTGCTGTTACCAGTACTACTATTTCTTTTACTGCCATTATTACTAGTACACTTAAATTAATGCTAATCGGTTTATCAATAAAAGTCTATCAATTTCAGAGGTCAAAACTCTTTACCCTATGTTTTTCTTGACTTAATTCAACCCAAATTAATCAATTTATTTGCTCATCTTATTTTTCATCTTATCGCTGTTAACTTGTGTATTATACATATCAGAACGACAACAAATGTTTTCCAATAATGATGGCGATAATGGCTTGAAAATGAAACGAAAAAGCAAGTAAGAAAGCAAGAAAAAAAAAAAAAAAAAGTTAATGTTTAATACTACTTTTTTCAGGAAACAGCTGACTTTTCAAAATTCAATATTACATTTGATGCATAGAAATATCTTAACAAATTTTCTTCAGTAGATACATATATTATATATATTTCTTTTTCTTATTTTCCCAGTTTGGCTTTTTTACTTGCAAAAGTGCTGTAAAAAATTGAAAGAAAATGATTTGTCCTACAACAGTTAAACAATTCCTAAATCTTTCCGATTATCACCTCTGCTGCTTATCTGCCATTTTACTTAACCATCAGAATTGTTAGGGGGGTTTTTTTGCCATCTTTTCTGTTCATCTGTTGTTTTTCGGTTTTAACTCGCCCTTTTTTACTGCTGTGCCTTATTGGCTTTTTACCTCGGAGTTCCTCCTACATAGTTGCGATCCAAAAAACGCCTACTTTTTCTCTCTATTATAGCACTGTTTATGTGAACAAACACACTCTGTAAAAAAAGACTATTATTTTTGCCTGACGGTAGTTAATTTGGCTAGATGAGCAGATTTTTGAGTTGACAGCAAATATTTAAAGAACTAAAAGTAGGCGATATGAGGTCAGAAAATGATGTAGAAAAAAATAAGACCGTCAAATTATCATCTCTAATATCTTGCCAATAGTAACTACTTATCCACTAAAATCTACCTTGATATAATCAGTTGTAAGACTGAAAGCTTATGTGGTTTTTACATATGGAACCATGAAAGTACCATGAAGTTTCTTACCAAAAACTCTTGATGAAGCTTTGCACATGAAACGTTGCTGTTATTCGACGGGATGTAACAAAGAAATTCAAAGAATTTTGAGAAAATGGAAGCAGGACAAAAAAAAAAAAAA